CAATATCTTAGAATTAAATTTCTTTGTAGCTTTCATATTTTAAACATATATAAAATGTATTAAAATAAAGTGACTTTAATTATTTTAAGATTTTATTGTTATTTGAAAATTTTATGATAGCTTTTATCAAGAGAATCAAAAAAGCGATAAATTATTTAGAATTTGATTTTAATAATTCTATTTACAAATGTATGAATGTTATGACCTTGGAACAAAACATCTAATTATGGATTTTGTAATTTGAAAAATATATTAAAATACCGATAGATATTAATATCTTGATTGAGAAGATTGTTATGGTCTCTATTTTTTATGATTCTCCAGACTGCTCCAAAATAAATATTAGAAAAATGGGTATAATTTTTTCGTGATAACGATAACCCAAGTTTGGGAAAAATATATGAGCATGTATTCTTATTATAACTATTTTTAAAAATATTACAAAATGTTACTGACTTTGTTAATATCGATTAGAGGTGGGGGCGGGCCGTGAAATTACGCATGACACTATGGGTCACGGCGTGAGTGCGAATAAATTTTTAATTATTAGGCATGACAGGGCGTTTTGGGCCTTCCCAAAATTTATGCCAAGTGTAATTTTGCGTAAACATAAATTTCCCGTGAATCATTGAAATTTTAATTTTTAAAATTGTTTTTTATGAAATTTACAATTTTATAAATTTTTTTCTTTTAACTAATTTTTTAAAATAATTTTAATAAAAAAATATATAAACAATATATATATTTTTTATAATTTAATTTAATTCGAGAATCTGAAGGCAGACTATCCGGGCGTTCTTTGGTTATTGATAAAATTTTTACTAAAGATAAATGAAAATAAAATATATAAATTAAATTTATTTATTACCAAATTTCCATTGCTGAACGAGAGTTAAAAGATTTTTTATTTCTCATTAAATTAAAATATTTTATAAGACGAAAAAAAACAGCAAATCAAATTGTCAAACTTTGAATTCGAAAAAATAATTCGGAAGTCTCGGGATAAAAACATAGTACCGCGAATCCAGAATATATTAAAATAGTGAAAAATAGTTCAAAAAGTCGTTAAAACTACTTTACCCAGCCATAATTCTTCTTCCCCGCTGAAAGATGTAAGCAATACATTGAGATCTGATAGTAAATTAATTGACAATGACCCTGGTGAAGTAGAGCAGAATAAAGGTGGTAAATCAAAATCAACAAATTTTATCAAAATACCTTGCGCTTCTCCTAGAAAAACTATTTATGATTATTTAAACCAATTACCCCTTAAAGATTTTTTTTAAATGAAATTTTCACTTTTAAATAATTTATTTACTTTTACAATATAAACATTATATAAATTGTATTGTATAATATACCATATATTTTACAGGATTTTTTTTATAATGTAAATAATAAAATAATCTATTTCAGTAAAATTTGTGGTTTGCTTAATGACTATTAACCATGAAACGTTTTTTATATACTACCTCGAGTCAAAATAGTTTACCCAAACATTTTTGCATTCTTTTTCTAATAAAATTTGTATAATTTATTTGAAGGTACAAAGGAATTCACGTGTTATAAAATACTAATAGCTATACATTTGCCTCAGTGGGAATTTAAAAAATTCTTTTTTGAACATCTAAAATTTATTGGCAATTTCTAATATAATAAATTATTTGTAAAAAAAACTAAATATATTGCAAATATAAATTAAGGCACTAAACTGTTAGAAAATATTAAATATATTGACTGGACTGGCATATGAATCGCTATTATATACATATATTACCAGCAATGAACACATATTGCTTGTTTAATATTTTAGGGCATCCGTGTAATTTTATTATATAAAATTAAAATTGCTATTTCCCACTTTAATTTATTTCTAGTCTTTTAAATTTAAAAATCTCATTTCGCTAAAAAAACATACTTCATAAATTTCAGACAAGACATTTAACATATTTCCTGATTACTCACATTGCCAATGATTGTAAAGCTTCCAGTCCATAGTGCTTTGTAAGTCAGTTAAATCTTTTATACAATTACTTCTACTTCACAAATATTGCATCTTGGAGATACAACACACTATCCGGTCTCCCTTATTATTTTTTTTTATTTTTGCAAATTTAGTTTAAATAAATAAGAAGGGCAGTTTGAAGAATTAAAATCTTTCGTTGATTTGAATCAAAAGACTTTTGTAATATAGGGGAGACCAGGGCTACTCAGAACAAGGGACTTGTCGGTTCAGTGGATTTTATTTTAAACCTTACAAATTAAAATAAAATCGTGGCTTAGCAATCAATCAATTTTTATTTATGGTACGCAAATATATACTCAATATTCCAAATAGGAGAATTTTTACCGTTTTATTACTCATTTTATTTATCATAATGAAAATTTATCAATAATAGGTATGGAATCAAATTAACAAGAATACAGAATTCGTCTTTTATTTATCTTTTTCAAATGGAAACAAAATAATATTTTTTACTAAATTACGTTAAAAACCACAAAGTGTCTATATTTTTTGTAAATAATAATCCTAAATCCTTATGTCCAATCAAAATTTTACAATCTTTGATTGACATCTAATGGTCAAATAAAGTACTTGCGAAAATATATTATTATTGACAGTTAATGACACGCCCCCTATTCATAAACCCAGTGTCTATCTTTCAATAAGCCCTCTTGGGTTAAAATTCCTCGACTCGTCTGAATTCTCGAATTCGTATTGTCTTATAGTATTCGTTACTAAAATATTGACATCTCTTTATTTTATAATAGATTTATAATGGGTATTACATTAAGATTAAAATTTATCTACTATGAATTTGGTTTATAATGTGTATATGTAGCTAGTAAATAATTCATAAAAATAGTTAGCAATTTTTGGATAAGTCACTGAAACTAGGGGAAATTTTTAATATTATTTTTTTTTAATATCTCTTTGATTAAAAAATAATAAATATACGATCGTGTGGCTATTGGTGGAAATTTTTTGATGTATTAATAATTCAAAGTTATATTACTAAAGTTTTAAGAATTCCATAACTTTTGTGAAAATTTTCATAATTATTTTACATTATGGCTTATATATTTTTTATCGTTGAATTTCCCGTAATTTTCGAGATCTATTTTTTTAAGGACATAGTCTAAAATATATATTTTTTTTAAATTTTTAAAAAGCGTGTGTTATATTGGATGATACTAAGTTAATGGTTCTTATATATTCGGTAAAATTTATCTAATCCATAAAAAGGGTAAAAAAATGTTTGTTAAATTTAAAAAAATATTATACATTAAATTAAAATTTACAAATTAAAAAATCTTCATCTAATGGCCTCAATAAAATACACCAATCGCCACACGATTGCATATTTGTTATTTTTTAATAAAAAAAATTTAAAAAAATGAAAAAATATTAATACTAAAAATTACTCCTAGTTTTAGTGACTTAATAATTTTTTAAATATATTAATTTTAAAAATTTTAATTAATAATTTTGGACATTTATTTTATAGTGATTCATATGTCGGTTATATCCGTTTAATATTTTATAATTCACATTTATTTTATAGTTTTTCATATGCCGGTTATATATGTATAATTTTTAAAATTCATATTAATTTGTATTTCAGTATTTGAAATAGTCATTAGTCCTAATAAATTTATGAAACGTATAGTATTATTTTTAAATAACAAGATTATTATCTAATAAAAATCATTATCCACCTCCCCCATACCAAGTTCTTACTTACACGCCTGAACAAAATAATTTAGCATTAAGTCAGATAGGCTTTTGGCCATGGACTTTCAAAGTTGGCTATAAATTATATCCGAGCCACCTATAAAGCATCTAATATATATAATCTCCATAATCAAAACATAATCGTTTTCGAATCTTCCTATTGTATTTAAATATTAAGGAGACTATATAATGTAATGTTATTTTTTTGCTCTCTACGAGAGTCGAAAACAAACCTCCCGTTTTAAAGTCGTATGTTTTAAGCATGCACCAATTTGAATATTATTAAATTTAAAATATTAATTATATATATATTAATTGCTGATAATTTTAAAATTCTGCCGTTTATTACCATACTAGCTGACGCGGTTGAAGGGTAATTATTTAGTTTGGTATGGTACTAAATATACTATTAATAAATTTTATATAAATACTTAAAATTTAGAAGAAAAAGAGGTAAAATTGTTGTAATGTATACCGTAAGCATGTATTAAAAATATCAAAATTTAAATTTGTGATGTAAATCATATTGGATAAAATTTTAAATAGTGATGCTTTAAGATTTTTGAATTTTAAATATGAGTTATACATTGGCCTGAAAATTTTTTTTGCAGACATAGCCAGGCCTGATCAAAAAACCAAGCCCATGCAACTTTCATATTCTGATTTTATTTTTAAATGAATTATGACTTTTATATATTTAATTTCAGTTCTCAACTAACAAAATTATTATGGTCTTTGACGGGCTTGAGAAAATTTTCCCAACAATATGGTTTTCAGATATTTACCTATCTCCAGGCTTGGGAAAAAATACAAAATTATTATGGGTTGGCCAGGTTTGAGAAAAAAAATTTCAGGCCAATGTCTGGTCCATATTTAAAATTAAAAAATTTTCAAGCATATCTATTTTAAATTTTACCCAATATGATTTATATCACAAATTTAAATTTTATTCTAAATATAAAATTAAATTTAAGATATTGTTATTAAATTACAATAGAAATAAATGGAATACAAAATTAAATTTAAGACATTGTTATTAAATTACAATAGAAATAAATGGTAAAATTTTATGAAAATTGCATGGGATTTGGTTTTTTGATCAGGCCTGGCTATGTCTGCAAAAAAAAATTCAAGGCTAATGTCTACCCCATATTTAAAATTAAAAAATTTCCAAGCATCTATAAATTTTATTCAATATGATTTTTATCACAAACTTAAATTTTATTCTAAATATAAAATTAAATTTAAGACATTAATATTAAATTACAATAGAAATAAATGGGAAAATTTTTGGAAAGTTGCATAGGATGTGGGTTTTTGACCAGGCCTAGCTAGTTGTGTCTGCAAAAAAAAATTTTGAGGCCAATGTCTAGCCCATATTTAATATTCAAAAATTTTGAAGAATCTCTATTTTTAATTTTACTCAATATAATTCCTATCACAAATTTAAATTTTGATATTTTTAATACCTTTAATGCTCACGGGTTCCATTTTACCTCTTTTTCTCCTAAATTATAATATAAAGCATATTTAGTGCCATATACCCAAACTAACTAATTACCCCTCAACCCCGTCATTCTTGACGGGTTATTAGCTAGTATATATATATAATATATAAATATTATATAATATATAATTTACCATATATCACAACTGATATTACAAATCATTCTTATATAACATGATAATGATAAAAAGTTTTGTTTTACATATTTATATTGCACTTGTTTCTATGTAATTTAAAAAATGTATAGCAATATAAATAAATAGTAATTTTTAAAAATAAATTACGATATATAATTGTAATAGCTAATTAGTGTATATGTGTGGAAGCTAGGGGGTGGGGGTATAATATTTTTTTAATATGGAAAATTACTAATAACATTCTAATGAGACCAAAAAAATAAATAAATCTAATTATTTACGGATGGCAAAACTTCATTCATCCATCTTCCTTTATATATTCCGACCATCTTTCGCAGTTTAATCTAATGATAAAAAAAACATCAAATAATATTGTAAATTTCCAACCTGGCTCCCTCTAATAAATGAGACGTGAATGGCAGTAGTTTAGCCAAAACTTCGTAACATGGAATACATAAGTTTTTAATGAATCCAACCTGATAAACATTTTAAATATCAATTGTAAAAGTATAAATATAATTTTATATTAAATGAATGAATTTCACTTGATTTTTAGGTAATTGATCAGAGCAATCCCTGTCCATTAAGGGTATAGGCTTTTTCCCTTTAGACTTTTCTGCATCTCCCTTAGATGTCATAATTAAAAATATAATGATTTGCGATAGATAATCAGAATAATATTAATTAACTTGTTGGAAAAACTCCTCCATTATGACAGCCACTGTTTCTTGCTGAAATTTCCAGGGCTTGGCGCTAGCGCATAAATCGCAAGAAGTCATTATTATAGCGAGGGCTAGCATTCTGTCATGATGATCTTCCCACGAAAATTGTTCTGAATCTAAACGTTTTACTAGAGCCTCTTTGAATGGGAAAAACTGAGCCAAGTCCGTGGCTAGAATACAATGCTTAATCAGACTTAGGACCTTATCATATTATTAATTTTATGAATAAAATTTAACTGAGATTTTATGGCATAGCTTTTCATAGTAAATTTTTAAAAGACGACGATTCATATATCATATTACACCCTCCCTTATCACTTATTTTTAAAAGAAATTATCAGTAATTCCTGCAATATTATAGATTATTGTTTTTTATAATTCAATCTAAAAGCTCGTTATTCACAAATCCATAGATATTTAATGTATATTAGTCATATTGGAAAATTTTTTATAATTAGAATATATAATCTCTTGTGTGCATAAATAATGCTCATAGGCGCTGATATTACATGGCCAACCAGTTATATTGCCTCCTCGTGGTAAAAACGGATATCATAACACTAATTTTTCCTTAAATTTTGTTTTAGGTTGATATCATGGACGCATATTTTCAGTTAATTGAATTTTTCTTCAGTCAATATGGTAAATTAGTATAAAAAATATATTAAGAAATTAAAAATAGTATTAAAAGCCGATATTAAATCGCTAATTTTATAGAACATACTAATATTTGTGATAGTTTATGATAAGAAAAATCTCTTTTAGAGTCCTTGAATATGCATCGTGATATACTAAAATATCATTTTTAAAACATATTTAGCGGTTATATTAACAAAATATTTTTAATAGACATATTTTACCAATTATTGTGGATAAAATCAAATCTATTTATAAAAAACTTCCATTATTCTAGCTAATTAACCAAAATATTTAACGCTTATTAAAATATATGAAAAGTTTTAAAACATTTTTTATAAATCTTAAAATATGTTTTTAAAATAGAATTTTAGTTAATATTTTGAATTCGATTTTTTAAACTTTCCGATTAAAAGTTGACCAAATAATATTATATAAGTCTATAGATTTGGCAAATAGAGGTTCAAACCTTTCTACCATCTACGAGAAAAATCCCCAGCCCAGATCCTTTTTAAAAATCGAATTCCATAAATTTGATAATATTTAAAAGTTTTTTGAATTGAGTTAATTGATTGCCAATTTTAATTTTGGTTAAAATACTCTCAAAATGTATTTCTTTGAGCTCTTTCTACTACTGCGGAAGAAAAAATATTATATGTAACAATGTAGGCCTTAAAATCTGTTGTGGTATAAAAAGTTTCCTTGTTAATATATTTTAGCTTGCATAAAGTACAATTTGTGTTTACTTTATCATTCTTGATGCAAAAAAATAAAAAAATGCAATCTAGATTGGCAGATTCTTTATGCTAAATAAGTATAAATGATACTTCTTCATATTCTTAATGATTTTTATTTTTATCTGAAGAGTTAGCCTACGTCTTTTACTATGATATGTATAATTATCTATTTCATTTTCATATAACTGCTCTGGATTGTAAATTTCCTCAATTTCCATAATTTAATTTGTAAAATAAAGTGAATTTGTTGAAAAATAATTCAACGATTATTCTATTATCAATTTATTGAAAATATACAAATTTACTTTCAAAAATAAAATGTCTTTAGAGCATTTTAAAATACTTATAATTAAAAAAATAAATTGCGTTACTAATGTTGTTGAACGGCTCGTTTTGAGCCGATTTTTAAAAACGGCTAACTCAACATTTTATCCAGAAAAATATTACTCAAGCTTGAAGATTTTACTCATAGTTGACACAAAGGTTTGGACATCTATATGCAAAATCTCGAGGCTTAGGCAATATTTTTCTGGCTTAAATATTGAGTTAGAAGTTTTTAAAAATCGGCTCAAATTCAGTGGCCACATACTTTTTGAGGGATGGAAGCAGAATATCTCCCTGAAAAGTCCACCCCCCCCCCTTCAAAAAAATGGTTGATTATTTTTTCATAAATTTCAATAATAATTTTTACTGCATCAAAATCAATCTTTAATATATAATATATACTTTTAAAAATATGACTTTAAAATTAATAATTTAGACAAATTAGGTGAAGAGAAAGCGAAAGAATTTATAATTTCATCAATGCTTAATTGTTTAAAATTTTTTCCCCGTTGATAAAATGGTTAAGTTATTATGAAATGTATCTTTCATGTACTACGAAGTCTTATTTTAATTAATTTAATTTTACTCAGACTCTTAGTAGGAATGGTTAATAAATATTTATATAAAATTGTTAAATTTAAGAAAGCTTAAAATTTTAAAACGATAAGGTAAAATAAACGAATAGTTTTTCCAGCGTGTAATAATTACATCCCCCGTTTTAGCCATCTTATAAATATTTCGAAACTTCAGACTTGAATTTAAATGGTAAAATTCACAGATATCCTCGATATCATCTTTAACGATTGACTTTTCCGCCATTCCCTTTGGTGCAAAAAAATGATGTTTGATTTAAAAATTTCATATTTTGAAGCTTTTCTTCATATCGTTAAAATTAAGCCCACCATGTCTCTTTCAAATGTGGTCTGACCATTTATCATCTCTTATAATATGTCATGTGCAATTATTAATTAAGTATTTGTATATCTTTTGGTTAATATTTTTGGGCATATTTTAAAATTGTAAAAGTAATTTTATGACAAGAAATCTCGGATAACAACCTAATTTAAACACCAATCAATATTTATTAAAATGTAATAATAAGACCTCTTACTTATTATTTATTTTAATATGTATTAACGGAATCTAAACCAGAATCACTTGGTTAAGGATGGGTGTAGTAAAACAATAAAAGAATTAAATAAAAAAGGTTATACCTAAAACGAATTATTTGTTATTCGATATTCGATTCGATTTGATTCGATTCGTATTTTACGAATACGAATAACACAATTATTTGATTCGAAAATTCGAATCGGATTCGAAAATTCGAATCGAATTCGAATAAGGAAAATATATTATTCGTCGAATAATTTTTTATCTATTATTCGATCGAATTATTCGAGATTATTAAATTAAAATAATTTATAGTATTAATATATATTGGAAAATAATCATATATAAATCATATATTATTATTTGAAATTATCAATTTAATAAAATCTCCTAGTGGAATAATGAAATGCGCCAAATTTTGAAACTCCATTTTAATTTATCTCATAATAGACCATTACTTTAGAAATTTCTTTTATGATAGAGATGGACGAAGAAGGTAATTTATATAACACATAACATATACAATTATAATAAACTGTTAATCCCATCACATCAAGAATGACGGGCAAACCTAAACAATCCGAAAAACTTTATGTTTGAAAAATTGGCTGTTGTCAGATTTATCTTCTACATTATAGATATGAATATTATATTGATTTTTCCACATTGTATATAAATATATTATATATGTATGCTTCTATTTTGTCTTACTAATAAAATTTATTTGTCTTTATCCTTAGTTAAATTTACAAAATAAATTTTATAATAGATCTTTTTTAATTCATGGTAAATAAAATTTTCGAATCGAATAATCATTTTATTATTCATACGAATACGAATAATAAATTATTCGATTTAAACGAATACGAATAATTCCATAATTCGATTCGTATTTTTGTAGGTATAAAAAAGATACTCCACTCAAATTTTTAGAAGCAGTTGCTTCGGACCCCCCTCTCTGTTGAAGGGGCCACTGCTCAAATTGAGCCCTTTAACAAAGCGAATTTATTACAATAGCTCATTGCTAAACAATATGCATCATACATTTGTTAAGTAATTACCTAACTTAATACAAACAAAATGTAATTCGCTACTTCCCGAATCTGTCAATTTTCCAAGAGGATGCAAAATTCCTGTTTTACCGGGAAGTAAAAGTGCTTTGCTCGTGGTACCAATAAAAATTAAAGTTCAAATTAGAGCTAGTCTAGGAGGGGGATAAATGCCTGCATCTTAGAGGCCCCCCTTAGGGAGACTTAAAATATAGCCTGGGAGATAAAGGGCACTGCATAATATTATAAAAGTTATTTATTATATATCTCGTAAAAACGTTATAAACTTATATAGTATTTCTTATTATTTTAAACCTTTCTATAATCTGTAGAAGAAAGGTCACCGATTATATTATGCCCATCTTGTTGCAAAATAGCAACGGTCTGGTTGAAATGATGATGTTCCATGGTAGAAGTGGTGTAGATAGCTGCCAAAGGAGTATCTGTCTCTTTCATAAACGTGTTATTTTTACCCCTGTGATCCAGATCATGACATAAACTTGCTATGAACAAAGCTAAACTCTAAAAATATAAAATTATAGAAATATTTTAGGACAGTTTTCAGTCTATAATCTAAATAATATACTGAAACGTCAGAGTCAGATATTGATACCATGATTTTAAATATTATAGTTTTAAAAAAGTGATTCATTAAAATGATTTTATTTTTTGCATTCAAAAAAAAATAAATTGTAAGCTAGTCATCCTAATTTATTTCAAATTTTCTATTATAATTAAGAGCCCAATTTGTTATCATTTTTTAAGAAATCTTTTATCCGCTTTTAATAATTACTTATCAAGTATTGGAAATCTAAGAATATTATAACTATTTTTGCCATAAGAAAAACGTGCGTTTAATTGCACAACAAATTTTAAATGAATTCATATATATTCGTAGGCATAATCCGTTAAATACAAAATCATTTTTTATTATATACATTTTAAATTTTAAAAAATATGTAAATCTATATGGCAAATAAACTCCCATTTGCTTATATCTAGGATGACAAATAGACTCCCATTTGCTTATATCTAGTATATATCAATATCATGGTCATTCAAATCTGCTCCAAAATAGATATTAATCCATGACATTTGAACAATTTTTAAACAAGATCTTTTTTTTAATTTTTATTAATAAAAAACATATTTTTAATAACCTCTAAATGGTCAAACTTCTCTGAATATATCTTCAATATGACATATGCTGCATGAGCAACGTAAAATCCATGAGTCCAGTTATGGTAAGGTACATTTCTATAGTTTTTTCTAACAGTAAGTATGAAACGCGCCACTAACTCCAAATTCAATCTAATATATAAATTACATAGGAAAGTTAATTATATATTTTTAACATTGCTTGTTATATAATAAACCTAAAAAAAATATACAATCATACTAGTTTGATAAATCTTATTTGAGAACTTAAATATGTAAAATAAATTGGCAGGAGTTAATTCGGGTGACTTCTGTTTGATTTTTATAAGGGTATAATTTTTATAAATTCAAAGTTCATGAGTAATTAATTTAAATAATTAAATAAAAAATAATCCAATTTAAATTTTAATCAATTATTTTGAGATTGTAACTCCCCTATGCATATGCGGAGGCTGTAACACTTCCATACATATAATTATTCCTAAATCTGATTCTTACAAATAAAATCATCGATAATATTTATTCGTTTCCAAAATGTCAATCGAATTATTATTTATTATTAAATTGTATTTTACCTATTTTTTCCAAACAGATCATTATACATAAAGAAAACCAATTCTGGTTTAAGATCATTATGGTTTTTATCGATGTCATTATCAAAATCGAAACTATATATTTTTTGTTTGAAATAAAAATATTTTATTTTACAATACGATAGTGATAATCAGGGTTTTGAAATGTTAAGTATAGCGGTTCTTCGTTCCGAGTTTTAGTTTAAAATTTTATAAAGGTTTTGTTCCATTCAATTTTTTTTCAAAAATTCATATTGGTTCGGTTTATAATTTATTACGGTTCTTTTCGGTTTGTTCCGGTTTTTACAAATTTGATTTTAAAAAAAAATTAATCATAAACCATATATTAACCTTAGAAAAAAATCTTTTTAATTTATATTTTTATTTCTTATTTAATTTAGCCATGATAATCTAATAAATATTTTTATTAAACTTAGTAAATATAAATTAGACAAATTAATTTTTTTTATTTCATAAACAAATAAGATAAAAACAAGCATGCGCAAATATAATGAGGAATAAAATAACGCATAAATAAAATGAAATTTATACTATTTATTTTTAAAAAGAGAATTAGAACGGATAACTAAAAAATTTTTCTAATATTTCAGGATTCAATTTAGTTCTCTGCCAAGAGAATATAAACTTAAGGCTAAAAAATGCTCTTTCTATGGATACCTGCTCAGCTGGAACTGCTAGCACAATAATAGCTAACTTATAAAGTTCTGGCATACTATTCTTTACTCACCCAATAATACAAAAGATTAGTATCTTTTTCTAACCTCTCCTTATAATGACCGAATTATATATTCTATTTCTATATATTTACTATAATTTTCTCCCTGAGAATTATTCTTATTAAGGCATTCCGACTTTAATAAATCTTCAAAATCATTATCTAAATTATCTTTCGAATATGAACACGTAGGCATAGTATCTAAAATTTCAATATTCTGATTATTATCAAGTTCCAGGTTTTAAAAAGATGTTTTTTGGCGATCTCCTTTTCTTCAAATGTTAAAAATCAGTACTTGATTTTTTATTAGATGTTAGTTATTAATGCTAATTATATGATTTTTCCCTAAATTATTAGCAAGTATTATTATAAAAGCTTATTAATTACTAATATATATAAATTAGAATAAACTTGTTAATTTAACCAAGAATTGTTTTGGTGATTTTAAGATTATATCTTATCTAAATTGAGTATTTAAAGTAAAAACAATAAACTTGGTTATTGATTGATATGTAGATAATATAAAAAAATTTTAATTATAAAATAAATCACGAATTTAAAAATTGCTTCCAAGAAAAATTAAAATTTCAAATATATAATTTAAAATCCATTATTTTTTAAAACCGTTTTGAACCGGTTTAAAATATTTATAACAGTTCGGTTCGCTCTTTTTATATTTTCTTTATAACGGTTCAGTTACGGTTACGATTCAGAAAATTATAACGGTTCATTCCGGTTTGGCGGTTCGGTTCGGTTTAAAACCCTGGTGATAATAAAATGAATAAACTTCTATTTTGTCACTCCTTTTTCTAAACTCATAATAAGAAAAATATTTCACTTTTCTATAGGTTTACGTTAGATAACAATAAAATTTCAACATATTTTTGGGAGAAAGAAGTGTGGGGGGGGGGGAGGTATTAACTTAAATTGATATTTATGAAAAAATAATTTCCCGAAGGGGGTATTTTTGCTCCCACCCCTAGTTATGCCAATATGGGAATATGTTTTCTAATTAAACTAATTATTTTTTTGTATTCAATTTTAATTTCTATTATTCCCTTCCAGGTTCAATTTCAATTCAGGAAAAACATTCTATTTGGAAATCTGCTATAAAGTGTCTTGAGAAAATATTTTCTTTTTAAATTATGAATCAATAATTAATATTACATATAAAAAACAGGATTATCAAATGTAGAGCTCTAATTCCGTTGAATTTTAAAATGAGCCAAAAGTTTAAAATCATATATTAATTCCATTCATATTGAATTCACTTTTAAGAATTTTGAAATTTTTGATCAAAGGTCTGAATATATAGATTATCTTATTGGTTTAGATATTTAATGGTCCATACCTTGAATAAGTTAGCCATATTGAAAAAAAATATCTTCTTCCGTGAGTTATGTAGTTTCTTTAGTTACATACTTTCTCAGAAATATAGTTTTTTTAAAGGATACCATCTTAAAATGAAAATATTTTTTCAAAAAACACTGTATCTCTGAAAAAACACTATGAACCTAAAAAAAACTCTATATCACTACTTTTTATTATAACGAAACTATAATTGCCGGCCCGTCGTGTGTGATACTAGTCTCTATAATTAGGCTTTAAGTGGCGGGCATTTATAAATAAGAATACAATGTATAAATTATATATATTTAATCTGAACTTTCTAATGGCTTCAACAGTCACATCATTGGGTAAAGATCCCCCTTTAGCCATCAATCTTTCAACTTCGTCTTGACCAGCAGTAATGTGATAAGAAAGAACTTCTAAAGCGACTTTGTATTTTTTCTCAGATCTATATATCTTTTCGTAAAGCTTTAAAAAATTAATATTTATATTATGTAATATACTAGCTGCTTTATAAGTTTTCTTTTATAAATATAGGAAAATTAAAATTTTCAAAAAGTTTCATATAATCATTAAATAGAATTATAAAAGATCACATATTAATTATTAATTAGCTAAGTTTTAATTATACCATATTATTTTAAAGAATTTCAAATATTTTTTTTCAAATATTGTGAGCTTAGGTTGCTTACACGTTATTCAATCATTTTTTAAAATCGGCCAATAAAATTATATACATGCGACAAAGTATTTTATATGCCACAATGCCCTTATACCTCATAAGTTTATAAAGCTAAACACCCTTATTTAAATGACTCAGAAAACTAATATACTCGGAGTCTACCACCCCTTTTTCAGAAATACAAGTCTTTAGAATGACGATCATCTATTGCTGTATTTTTTTAGTACGAATTTGAGAAACATATCTTAGTGAGTGAAAATATTTTACTGAAAATGTACAAATAAAATATTAGATGAAACTCTTATTATTCACAATTTTGTTACACACCCATTAAACGTTGCATTGAGTATCATATATCGCGATTTAATTTATATCAATTTTTGTCATTTTTAATCCATTATGGACTTGAATTCAACTTAGGGTTAGGGGATTAGTTAATAAAGTATATTCATCTGCGTACTATAAGAAATGAATTCCTGATTGTATAATTATTGCAGTTTTGTTTTCACAGCGCTAATATTTATTTTCTAAATCTTCAAAATTCAGTACAGTACGTTTGGTTTATAATACTTCATTTATTCTCAAGTATTTTAAGCGTTGGCTCATGATTTGAGGAAAGGAATGTAACAACAATTAATATAAATTTAATGAACAAAACATTTTAATTTTAGAGGTTCATCTCTACATGACCCGCTATTGAATTAATAGATGATATTAAAAAAAATCTATTCCCACTACCATTTTACTGATTATATTTGTCTCTTTCCCCTTTAGGGAGTCTTGAATGGCATAAATATTTTTTAAAAAAAGGTGAGGCTTCTATAAAAAAGAAAGAGAGAAAAGTTCTACTTTAAATTTAAAAAAATTATAATAAGGTATCTTAAACTTGAGCATGGTACAGAGCTAAGCCACAATAAATGGCAAATGCTTCAAAATTTTTCTCGTCCGCTTCGTTAAAAGTCGTGTCCTTCTTATTAACCATTTGCATTACACCTATAATTCTTTTTTAATATACAAAATAAGAGTTATTATATACCATAAATTAATAATTTATTAGTCAAATAAAAATTATAAGTAACATAATTAAATTAATTACTCTTTCCTTATGTATATCGGCATGCACAAAATTGTTTTAGTTTGGTAGCCAGTAAGGTCATCTACTTTTCTACAAATAAGAAAAATTACTATAACATTTATGATTTCGTTTTTGATTTCATCTTTATTTAATAATTTGTCAAATAATTTATTTCAATTTATAAATTAAAAAAATATATTATATCACATTGAAATATTATATCAGATTGAAAGATTAAATTATGCTTGCCGGTTAAATCTTTCATCTGAATAGGCATTCTTTATGTTTTCAATTTGACCTGTTGATGCTACACTTCCAGCAATACCACATCCAATGGGAAATCTTGCAGTATAAATTTGTTTGAAATAAATCATTTTAGAGTATATAGTTATAAGATACCATTTTTATTATATATAGAGGAATTTGGGAGGGTATAAGGCAGAACCTAGCAAATCTCTGTTTTTCGTAAATTTTAATAGACCAGCCCTGGCATTAAAATTTTGATATTTTTTTTTAATTTCAAGCTAATATTTTGATTTTGATTAATACTATTTGAAAATAAATTATAAAATGTTTAATTCTTTGTATTTCATGAGTTGTCTAACTAAAATACTAATAAACAATATATTAAATTCACAAAAAATTAATTAATTTATGATATGATATGATACAATTGGAAATGCACATTACGGATACAAACACAATTGATTTATAAAACGGTTGCTGCAGAAATAGATGGCCATGGAGGAGATCGGCCGGGCATTTTAAAAAAAACCATAAGGGGCCGAGCATGGAAAAAAAATTTGAGCCCGGCCGGATAACTCGTAAGAAATTTCTTAAAGGAACAGGCAGGACTTTGCTCACCCCTAATTTATATCATACTTTTCAATAGACTAAACAAGTACAAGTTAATTTGAAAAACTGTTTATTTCATATTCTTTAAAATGAAAAAATATTATATTTATTATTATATTCAATTTTTTGAAGTTTTACCTATGTTCTTGTTTAAATAGTATTCACATCTTTTTCACTGCCTATAAAAATTCTATTGATTTTCTTTTTCAGGGAAGTTTAATAAATTAATTTTTACTTCTAATTCATTATATTTCGATTTAGATTTAAAGTTTTTATTTTAAGTTTTCTTATTCATTATAAAAAAAAATAAAAAAATAATTTTTAATTGTTTTTATATTTAAGTAAGAATTTCATTATATTTAAAAATTAGATAAGACATTCTGAAGGAAAATTATGATGCTTTTAGCGTTTTGCTAGATACATCGAAATATATTTTTTATTAATTTTTTCACAAGCCCAAATCAATATCTAGCCTTTTCATCCGGTTAACATTCAATATTCACGCATAACATTTTTTATGTATATAAGATATATAACCTTATTTTTTCTTTCTCTATAGGTACAACATCGTTTACACTTTGATCTCCTCCCACATCAAATATGCTAGCATATAATTCTTGGTTTTGTCGATCCACTAGAAATAAGGAAGCTCGGTCAGCATTCACAAGTTTTCTACCAAATTTCTTTTTTTATGTAAATATTCATTTATTAAACGATCATAAAATAAAAGAATTTATTTTAAATCAATAAATCCAAAAGAAAAAAATGTGTTTATGAGAATTTTTAGGCAATTAATCCACGCTACAAATTTTAATATATATAAATATGATATTTCAAGGGTATTTATCAGAGACCTGGAGATACCATTTACACAGCTTGGCCTGACCCGGGTTTAATATTTTCAAGTCCGGCCTGACCGAATTTTTTTTTGAATATATAATATTATTTTTAATTATAGCTAATAATGGCTTCAGTTTTAAATTATACGACCCGGCCTGGGTATTTTAAAAAAATTTATAGTCTCCTCCCGGCTCTGGCCTGCAGGTCTCTGGTAATTATTTTGTAAAAATAAAATATTATTTTCATTCCATTTTTTAGGAATAGTCATTAGATCCATAAAATATAAATTTATTAACCATAATTTTGAAGATAAGCGTAGCTATACTCTCCATATCTTGAAATATCGAGCTATAATCAAATAAAACAACGTGTTTTTAATATATAATTCAAATATTATAATTATAATAAAAAAAATTTTACCTAGTAACTTTTAACATAAACTCGTTCAATCGTTTTTGTTGGGTTAGTAATTTGTTACACTTTAAAAAAATAAAGAGATAATCTCAATTTTTTATAAAAAAAAACTTACTTCCAAGAAATGCAATGATGTCAAGCCGAACAAAAGTATTGCTCCGACAATCTAAAAAGACAAATAAAATTAATTTTAAGAATCTTATAGATACATTGAATATTAAACATAGACCCATGATATTTTGATTTTAAAAGTTTTTTTCAAATTGTATTAGGATTATTATATAGCCCAAAATAATATTTGCATGACAAAATTAAAAATAACTGTTATAAAAATTTATTTTTATAATATGTTACAGCTAATATACAAACTTAGCTCAGTTTACAAACTAGTTAGCTAGTATACTAACTATCTAGAGGCTTAGCGACTTTATAGTATACAAACTGACTTTTTAATAAACTAGCTAGCTATTTTAAATTTATAAATTTTTTTCAGGTTTTCGAATGTTCTATGATATTTTTCTTCCTTTTAGTATACTTCACTGTGGGCATTTTGTTATTTTTTATAAAATGCTAACCTGGGATCTTCCTCTCTTTGCATACTTTTTATTTTTTCAACCCATTTTTGATTATTTTGACTTTTAAAAATCTTTCTTCCGATACTTTTGAATTATCTTCCGCTCCCATTTTAAAATAATTTTTAAAAGTTGAATCCTGTTACGTTGAGAATATTAACTCTAAATTGAACCTTTGTCAAAATTTTAATATTTTTATAAGTTCATATGGCTATTATTACAATATCAAATTAAATATCATCTCAGGCAGAATTCTCATCAAAATTTTCTAATTCACATTTATTACCTCTATGTCAGCATCATTAAAGGGTCTATCGTTATTAGAGGAGAATTTAAGATATTCCATGATCCCTAATTTTATTTTATTTTTAAATTATAAAATAGAAATTAATTTTTTAATATAGAATTAATTCGTTTATACCCAGTAATTCTTCTGTTTCCGATATTATAGGTTGAATTATTACAGAATCAATGTCATATTCATAGTAGTGATCATTAACACCTTCTGGAAACCTGTCGTCACTCTGTTATTTCAAATATTAGGATTTGTAGAAAATATTTCGAAAAATAACGGAGATTAGCAGAATTATAATAATTAAATCTTCTTCCTTAATATGAAAGCTAAATTTTGATAAAGAGGAATAATAATTTTAATAAATACAATTTTATATAAAATCTTTACTCGCTAAATCATAAGCTTTACTACTATATTTTTAATATCAGAAACCATGACTAAATATTCAACTATTATGGATCAATGGGAGAAATATCTGTGAGTTATAAGACCACATTTAATTTACCATTGGTATATATTTTTTAATAAGAATAGTTTGTTTGGTGAAAGCAGAAAACGCGGTGGCAGTTTTACGCTCTGTAATTAGTTGGTTAGGAATCTTGATTCTTATAAAATAATGCAATATAAAATTTACATAAAGCTCGATAAATTAAATATATTAAATTTGTTTAAATGGTATAATTATTAAGATCGCCTAAAAATTTAATAGAATTATGTTTTCGTTTTTATATAAATCTTTAAAATAAAATCTTCTTTCTTCCTTTCTTGCCGTGTCCTGACTAGTCATATTTCTAAATGGAAATCTGTTTAGCCGTCTATATAGCTTCATCTAATCAGAATAAAAAGAAAGAAGCTATTTAGATTTAGTAAACATCTAAAACAAAACAGAATAGAGTGTCCTAGTTCTAAATCTGTATAGACTGCTACCTGATAAAAAGTATACTGGAGGCAAACCCCCCCCCTCCCCTCTATATCCAACCAATACCTACCTCATTAAAAAATTACCCGTAAAGACAACGAAATATCTACACCACAAATTATTGAGTTTTTAATTATAACGGCTTAAATATTAAGCTTCTAGCTTCATTAAATGATTTCTAAATTAAATACTATTTACTAATATCATAAATTAATATAGTTGTAATATATTAATCATGAAATTATTATAAAGAATAGTTGTTGGTCCTTATTTTTGGATATATTATGATATTAATTTCATTAAAAAGATAAATTTCTATGTTTCCTTTTTATCTTAAATGACTATGATTGTATGAAGTTTGACGAGAAACATTTTATCTTAAATGACTATGATTGTATGAAGTTTGACGAGAAACATTTATCTTAAATGACTATGATTTTTTGTGATTTGGTTGGTGTTTAGTAATCTATATTAGAATAAATAATATATCTTCCCCTATATAATTCAAATATGTAATTGGTAACCGCCCAATAAATTTACCCTCCCTCCATTAGATGCCTCGGCCATAGTTCTTTATAAATTCTATTTAGATAAATTAAACTGTTTTACAAAGGAACATTAAATTTACAAAATATCAATAACTTTAAGAAAAAATCAATTCTTTTAATACTTGTGATTATTTCCAAAACAATATTTGTGTTCTAGCTGCTGGACAATAAAAATAACAGTTTTAGTTATTATGAAATATTTTTAAACATTATTATAATATCATTACTTCGCCGTCGGGAGAGATTATATATAAGTTGGAAATGGATGCCTTTATCACTAAAAAAAAATTTTTTTAATTATTATATTTTCAAATCTAACAAATATTATATTTCTTGTAAACATAGATAATAGAATCGATGGGTATTTATATATTTTCCTATATTTCTTTATTTTTTGTGAGGTCACTCTTTTTGGGAGCCTTTTGCGTGTACCCTGGGTGTTTTTTTAGAAGGATAACATATTGAAGTTTTCAAAATTTAATTTTTGTTAATAGATTGATATTCTTTGAATTTGATATTTATATATAAATTTAATGGACGACATTAAATTTAAAGTTTAACGTAACCAAATAATAAGTAAATACATTTATTTTTGTCCTCCAATTTTTTTAATTTAAAAATCAAAAAAGATGGCGATCGCGATTGCGCCACTTTTTTTATTTTTTATTGTTTAATTTGTATTTATATAGTATATAAAATCTATTATCCATTAAATTTCGAAAAATTCGCTTTTAATTCATGCAGAATTTTTAAAATAATTAAAACACCTAGGGCACAAGCCTAATCTTTACCCATGCCATGTTAAAAAACCAATGTTTTTTAAATATTAATAACTTAATTCTAAAAATATCAAGATCTGTCTATACATGACTCACTAGTTTATTGATGATCTTTTACCTAATTTTTTTTTCTTTTTAACTAATTTTTTTTTCCTTTCTATATTCTTTTATTTATAAATTATTTTATTCATTAAATCTAAACTGTTTTTTATTAAATTTATTTGCAGGAAGTAATATAATGGGTGTTTTATTTAAATGCTGAAAAATTTACGTTTAGATATAGAGCTGATCAATTGAAATAATATGATGTTTGAAGGTTCATGAGAACTCACTTCTTTGAGGACTGTTTGCAACTTATCCATACTATTTAAATACATCTAAAAAATATTTAGAGATAAAATAAGCTTTTTATTTATAAAATAATTTATCTAACTTTGGCGCCGGAGTCATAACTATGTTTAATGGAGTAAGCTCTATTTTTATTAATACCTGTTTTAAAACATAAAGTATTATAGTAATAGTTTAGGGGTATTTTTTATGTCTAATAATGCCTTAAATCAAATAATATAAAGATATTTAATAAATTTGTTAATACATATCGCTAATAATAACATTTTATTATAATATCCATAACCTCTTAAGAGATTTATAAAAAAAACCATCATATAATTTTGTAAATAATTACTATGGGTGTGAGTATCCTCTTCTTTTTCCAACGTGAATATACTCTTAGATCTGGAGTCAACTTTAATACTTTTTTCGCTGATACCACTTTGATTAGGCTTATCGGCTTGGTTGATTTCTGAAGGTTTCTCATTTTTATGAGTATCATCAATTGGTTGCATCATGGCTTCCCAATCCCTAATAGTATTGATTTTAATGTGACTAAGAACGTAGGCTTGTAAGAAAGAAGGATTATGGTCGAGGAATGTTTCAATTGATATGCATTGATCTAATAAAATTTATTTGCTTTATAAATATATAATATGCTAAACTTTTATACACTCCAAAAAAAATATTTAAAATTTTCGAAATAATGAAACATTTTAATGGCCCCCAAGACCCTTATATATTTTTTTTTACTTAGCATATAATCTAAATTGATATCTGTTATAGAGGAAATTAATTCGGAAATTATATTAAAGGAATCATAATTAAGGATTTTGAATAAATATTTTAGTTTATTATATATTCTATCATATCAAGATTATATTAACAAACTTAAAAAAAATAAGTGGTCAATTATAAGCTATAGCAACCAGAAAGTAGTTGTCCTACATATCATGTTGCTATGTTAGAGGCCATTATTAGAATCGAATACGAAAATAAAAAAAATTTTACCAATAAAAAATTTAAATTATACGTATGAATTGAATAATAATTATCAGTTTTTGTAAATATTCGAATAATTTGTTAATTTTTTTTAATTATTTGCATTGTAACAATTATTTTTTTTTAATCAAAGCGACTGTAAATCAAATTTTCTTTTCTGGAATTTGTAATATTTATTTTTTTATTCTAATAGTGACTCTTGTTTAAAATTTTTCTAAAACCAAATTAAAAGAAATATTTATAATTGGTAAGATTATGCAATAAGAAGGAGAAAAATTAAGCAAGCTCTTACATCTTGTGAGAGTTTATTTTTCTACAAATATGATTACCAAAATCGCATCTCTCAAATCTAGTAGTGTTAAACGGCTGGATTTGAACAAAAAAGCTAACTCAATATTTTATTCAGAAAAATATTGCGCAAGCCTGAGGATTTTGCTCATAGGTGGCCTAACCATTTAGACCTATAAGCAAAATATAGAGGCTTGGTCACTAGTTTTCTGGCTAAAATATTGAGTTATCGGTTATTAAAAATCGGTTCAAATCGAGTTATTCTCTAAAATAATGAACAACCTTTTATAAATTTATTTTAAAAATAGTTGGTTATATTATTGCATCTCTATACGATTTTGAATTATGCAATGTTTGAATTTTATCTCTTTATTAGTAAACTGTATAAAATATTCTTAAAAATTAGTTTTTTTAAAAAATGATTATTTCGTTATTCTTATCATGAATAAGAATAATAGAATTTTTACAAAAACGAATACTAAATTATTCGATCGAACTCTCTAAATGTCTACTATGTCCAACATGTCCTATTTTTTTATACATGAAATTTTTAAACATTTAAAAATTTTTTAATTATTTTTAAAAATTACAAATTCGTCCTTCGTCAAGATTTTTCATAATATTTTTACAAAATCTGTCGCATGTGCCCAATCTAGAAGTCAATATAAAATTTATACCTTATTTGTTAACTTACTTTTCGGTTAAATTCCGAGGGTAATTAAAAAGGGAAAATAAAGCTCTAAGTATAAATTGTTAATTTAGTTGGTGTTATAAATGTCACAAATTCAGGCCTGCTTCATCAGGTTTTCGCAAAGTATAAACATTTTTTAAAAACCGGATTTTGACGGAAACATATTCCTGCATGTGTAGAGTAACCTACCTTGAATTTCAGACAATTTCGCAATAAATATTTGTGTATATTATTTTAATATAAAAAATCTATATATAAAAATAATATAAATTAAGGGTAGTTCAAAATTTAACGACAAAATTGTCTGAAAACCATAGAGTAAGCGTTATCACGTCTTTCAAGATTAAAAAACGTGTGCTATAAATGATTTAAATTTAAAAGATTTTCTAAACTTCTATGATATTATATTTAAAATAATTCAATTGTCAGGATACAGAAATAAAATTCTAGATATTTATTTTGCATAATTAACTTTAATTGCCGAGTTATAACAAATTTATGAAAAGATTATATAATAATCGCAAAAATAAGTTTTGTTTTATTAAAACTTGGATTTTGTTAACCATATCAAAACAAACGAAATAAAGATTCTGATATAAATTTTTAGTAAAGAAAAATGACTATCCTAATTACGTAAATAAATACATAGTATCATAAATAAACCATAAAAATTATAACTCGTCATTTATCATTGGGTCGATGGCCTTCAATTATTTCATTTCAATTAATCAGATTTTAACAAAAGTCCTTTGATATAAAAAAAGTAATATTGCAAAGGTAGAACCAGCTAGGGGAAGTACTATTTGGTGGTTTTCCCAATAAAATTTTTAAAGGGCTTTATTACCACTTATTTCAGGCCTTTGGCCGGATTCCATTTTTTAAAAATTTTGATTTATCACTTTTTTTCGAATAAAATATCATTTTCAGAAAATTTAAAATTATCGTCATTATTGAGTTAATATCAGGGAACCAAACAGAACCGTTAAACCGCTAAAAACCGGTATTTTTTATCGAACCGCGAAAATAGTTTCTAGCCGAACTTGAATTGAACCGCTAAAATGCCTCTGAACCGGTTCGAGCCTAAAGATTTTATGCCTATAAAATAATGTGTAAGTTATTACTAGTATATTACAAAAATTTTAGTAATATTCAAATTGTTTTAAAGATTATTATCAACCACATTTGATTGATAAGTGCCAGTCATAATTTTTATAAACTTTAGTATATTGCCATTTTACAGCATTTTTAAATATTTTTATAAATTATAATGCCTAGAGAAAATTAAATCCAATATATATTATTTATATATATTATAAATGACACATCAAAATGTAATATTACTAATTGTTAAATAAATATGAAAGGCCATCATAAATCTTGAGTCACAAAAAAAACCACCATCTAGATTTAGATAAAATTAACAAAATATCAAAAATAAAAGCCTAATAAAATAAAAAAGTTTAAGATGTCATCAAGCCAACAGACGATAAGAAGCATTAAAAGAACAAACAATATCAATAAAACGAAATAAAAATAATATTAATTGATGCTTAGTTGATCACTTTTAATAGCAGACCATTCAAATTAATCGATGAGAGCAGTTTTAAAAAATTATTGATCCTATATTAGAAGCCGTGGGTAAAATTAAAATTAATTCTCAAAATATTCAATCTAATGTTGCAGAATAAGCTTTAAGTATCTGGTAAAATATAATCAAAGAAATCATTGGCGTACGCAGTGCCCCCCCCCCCCAAAGCCAAAAAATGCAGATGCCGGATATATTTTTCAAAAATATTATTGTTTATATTAATTTATATTTGTTAATATTTATTCGTATCTCATATTAAATATATATTTAATTACATTTATTATCACATTTATCTAATAAGTTATTTTATCAATTAATTTCGATTTCAAGTTTTCCGGCGTAATATTTACTTATTATTTTCAAATTTTTAGTGGCGTAATATTTATCTACCATTTTCAAATTTCTTATTTCTAAAACTTCTTGTCCAACAGGGAAAAAGAAATTGCAACCTTGTCCAACAGGGAAAAAGAAATTGCAACCTTGTCCAACAAGATAGAGTCTCTACCATCAAGCAGTAACAGCTTTTAAGGAGAGAAGAGCCAATTATTTGCTATTACTGAAATATCACAATGGCCTGAAAGAAATATTTCATCAGAAGCAAGAAAATTATTGGATTCAATGCCTATTCCAAATTTTATTTCTCATTAGAATGTATTATTTCATTATACAACTATTTTAAGTATTACTTTTCAAAAACATGACATTAACTTGATTAAGAAGATGAGAATAGCGGAGATCATTTTATCAGAACTCAAGGAAATTAGAGCTAATGTTGATGAAGAATTTCATATTTTATTGTTGAGTCAAAAGCAGAGCTATACGTGTTTAATATTTGTCTCCCTCGACTTGTAGCAAGGCAAGCTCATCGTTAAAACATTAAAATAGGATAAGTAGAAGAGTATATCTTGAGAGAACATTTTCTTTTTTAAGAAGAATAAGAGAAGCCTGCAGAAGTACCATTTGCAGAGCATGGCCCGGATTTTTTTTAAAGATTTATTGTATACCTTTTAAGGAATGGAAGGGGGGGGGGTGTAGAGGAGAATATTTTTATTGGTTTAAAATTTTTACGATAATAAACAAATTTTCGAAGGGGGCTTCCATACGTCCCTCCTCTTAGATACCTATATTTATAAATGTAACTCATTACAATTAAAATTTATAAATTCGATATAGAATATTAGTTTTAAGTTAAAGATCGATCATTTATTTCGATTTTAGGCACAAATTTAAATGGGAGAAAAAAGCAGCTCCCTCTTTTAGCACATGTACTTCTAACCCATGTTATTCTTTACGAAATTTATATAAAATCCCATAACATAACAAAAGAGTCAACAGAATAGAAATGAAAAGGTTGATTCATCAAGTCATGTTTATAATTCGATATAATACATAAATAATAAAAGTATTATTATATTTTATATTTAGCTAATAGAGAAGTCTTCTTTTATACTTTTATTAACACTATTTTTAAATGTAATGCCACAAATGGATGGCGAAATTCTCGATCTACAAATATTTTGAAACATGAAATAATTATGCAAGAAGTTTAAGAAATCGAGGTAAGAAAATCATGAACGCTAATATTCACATTACCTATATATCTATATCGATATTATTCTAATCAGATTGATGAACGATTTCGAAGTATAAAATATATCCTGACTGAGAATCTTATAAAATTATCTAAGGAACATATTCATTAAGGAAAAAAATGTTCTAATGAATAAAGATAAAGAAAATGTTTATTAATAAACTTATTAGTTTCCTTAAACTAAGGAAAAGGAAATTGGAAGCTAGAAAATTTGTTTATGTTTATATCACTTAGAGTGACATCGTGAGAGCGGAAGTGAATTTTTGAAAGTTTAAAATTAATCAAAAATTTCGATGATGCGAACATATAATAGCCAAACTCTTCATGGAATTATAATAGTCTATCATTTCGCCTTCAAAACATCTAAAAAATATTTTTTATATAATGTATATTAACTGTGCAGTAACTTTGTTTATTTGCAATAACTTTGTATATTTAAAATAATTTTGAATTTAATGGACT